GATAAGATATCCTGAACGTACTCAGCATATCAGATCTCTGCCTTGCCCAGGTTCACTCACCGTTCTTCCTGGCAAGGATTGGGGTTTTTTCCTATGCCTTTCTCCTCACAAAGGAGCCTAGAAAGATGAAGGAAACAGCAAAGTCAGACTGAATGCTGTAGAAAAAAATCTAAGAAACTTTTTGAGAAAGCAGTCTCAAACACCTGTTCAAGGGTACAAAATACAGTTTTTCATAATGGGTGTTGTTTTCTGCTTGTATATACCATGATACTACTACCTGTTTTTTATAGAAATCCCTCTTTCTTTAAAGACAGAAATCATGTTATAAAGATGATGTATATGGAGTGATTTCATAAGGAAAGGTTCAACACTCATACAGCTAAGAGAATGTGAAAAATGAGGACAATTAATTAAATTGTATGATAAAGGCAGAAGAAAAATACTAGTCAAAACAAAACTGAAACTGAGTGATTTTTAATAGTGTGAGGACTACTAAAATGCTTCCACAGGCCACTACTGGCAGACTTTTTTTTTTTTTTCTAACTCTGAGTCATCTAAAACTGCATTAGACACCATAGCTGGGAATACATTTTATGTGAATAATCTTCATTGCTGAGATGTGTCAAAGCCTCATCCAGCTGGAGTTGTTTTGTATCCTCCTCAGTATAGCATAGGTAATGTTGTCTCAGCAACCATGATCAATATTGGCATGAAATCATGTTTTCCAGATGCCATTTATGTTTGGCATATTTCTGTCCAATATAGCCTTGCCTTTCTGTGTAAGGCAGTTGCAGTTTATATAAGAAGTTCATCATTAAAGAAGAGGTAACAACCACAACAAAAAAAAAACACCCTGTTTTTCTAAGTTTCTGTAAGTAGTGGGGTGAGGTTACTGCCTCTGGTACGAGATGGTTGCCCGCAGCTACCTCTTCTGCACGCCACCATATCCCTTCTTGTGCCTCAGGACTCCCTTTTCTCAACTCAGGCCAGTCTTGGTCCGCCCATAGTTACTGGCTATACATGACACATAGCACTGGCATTTCAGAAAACAGTCTGTGCCCCATGTTGCTTACTACACATTATCTGTAAGTACACCAGCATTTGCCAGCTAGGGCACTGGTGCTGTCAGTGCTGGTAGCATGTCTGACAGTCAGTAGCACTTGTAATTGTAGTCTCTTTCGCACAAAGAAAACATTGTCAGCATACAGGGGAAAAGTATGTACCCAAATATAAAAGTATATATCCCACTACTTGTTTCTCATCAGGCCTTAAGGGCAGTCAGGACTTTATTTTGATGGCTTTTTAAGAAAAGAAAAAAAAATAAATAAATTGAGGGTTGTTTAAAATGTTTGCCAGAGATGAGTTTGTGTGTGTTGGTTGCCAGGGGGGCTTTATCTGTATTAACCTAGTCTTGGATTATTGTGGAATGGATACTTCATAAAGTAGCATACTTATCTGGTACCTTGTATTCCCTCTTCTCTTGGAATGTAGCATCTCACTGAACTTGGAGATGGGCTGGCGCAGGATGTTATGTTACCAAGTATTAACATGATTTCAAAAAGCAGCTATGATACATGAGAGCATGTGGAAGGTGCTAAGATTTATCTTCATTATTAGTCTCCAGTAGTGGACCTTTCAATGCTGAGGGGATAATAAGTGAAGGGGGAAGGAGTGAACAAGAATGCAGAGGAGTAGAGCTAGCGGACAAGGGGTAACAGAGACAGTGACAAAGACAAAAGTCTCCAGCACTATGTAATGGGCTGTTAGAAAATTACTGGTATTGCTCTGGGGAAGGTGAGCCTGGATTTTGCAACTGATAAGAATGGGAAACAATAGGAATGTGAGGATTTTGAGATATGGGGGGACCTGTGGACTATGCAAAACAATGTTGAGGGGGCATAGATGGGAGCAGGAATTGGAGGGGCCAGTCCCAGCTGTTGCCAGTCAGTATACTCATCTGACCATGTTTTGTGTCTGATTGCCATTCTCTTGTCTTTTTATAAAGCTTTCCCTGTGTAATCTCATTTTTTATCCTGTGTGTGCTAGTGCTCTTAAGAACTTGGTGCCAGCTATGGGGAGGACTGGCATAAGTGGATGCTGAGCCCACAGCTGGAATCAGACCTGGAATGTAGGTGCCATGAGCCTACAGTGTCAGCAGCAGGGAGGGTTGAGGGTCTTGCTTCCAGCAACACAGGGGCAGGAGCAGCATGTATTCCAGGTGGGGAGGGCAGGGACAGTGTGTGTCTTTGGTGCAGCTGGGTGAGATTTACTTGCTTCACTGGGGCAAGTGAAGCAAATGAGGCTCTTGGCACAGCATCTGAACTGGGACCACAGTTCACAGCCTGTGTGTTTGGTGCCTGCTACTGATGGGGCCAGGCAGAGTATCTGTACTCTCACATGGTTTTATCCTGCGTGTGTGTTTCTGACTAGTGTAATTCACTAGTTCAAGTTGAAATAGCAGTTAGTGGGAGGCACTGGGTCTGGGAAGGGATGTCAGGTGGGCTGAGGGCCCTGCTAGTGTTTGGGAGGAACGAGTGAACATGAGGTGCCTTTAAGACAAGAGTAGCTGTGAGTGTGTGGGCATTATCTGCCTGTGTAGCAGCTTGCTTCCAGCCAGCAAGTAGGAGGCCCAAGAAGTGAGTGAAAGGGCTCTGGACCCAGGCAGAGGGGTATTAGATGGACAGAGATACTCGAGGGATCCATAAACGTGCGTGTTCATGAATCTAGAGGGGATGGGAAAGGGCATACTTCCAATCCTGACCACATGAAAAGGAGAAAGAGGGCTTGACCGGCTATACTTAAGTTCTTCTGAGTCCTGGGTGTGTTACATGTGGGTGCTGTCAAAGACAGGATCTTGTCTGTGGCAGCTAGCTCCATAGCTGAGCTTCACAGCTGTTTGAACCTGCCAATGAGAAAGCAGCTGCCACATCTACAAAACTGGGATGGAGACTTCCAAGTCCTTGGATGCACCAGGCAGGGCTCCAGCAGCAGGACTGGGAGAATCCCTGGACTGGTCCTACAGATGCTGGAGGTTGCAGTCACTTAAACCATCCCTTAACATAGTATGTGAAAGAAAATTTCATAATATATATTCAATACAAGGGTTCTTTTTTTGAGTCAGGGAAAGGTCCATTTATTCCAATAACTGGACTTACATGGCTGCTTTTACAAAACCAGGGTGCTGCTAAAGTCTATATGTAAGTCAAAAATGCTTGTATTACCTTAAATCTAAGAGAAGTAAAGGAGATGCTTTATAGATTTGGGGGTTTAAGCCTTAACAGGAGGTTCTTGGCCTTGTTCTGGATACCAAGCATTTCAGTGAAGCTCCATTCATGACTTCACATTCCAGATTGTAATTCTTTCTTCATTATTATGCATGGTCCTGCATTGTTAATGAAATTCTGTAATATTGTCATGCAAAAATTAAATCTTTGACATTCCAGCGTAGGTATTGGTGAAGTTTGCCTGCCTTCTATCTGAAACAGGTTGTTGCATTTAAATCCTAAAGAGATAGGAAATAGTTTAATTTGGGATGACAATTATAGAAGTTATCTTTAAAAAAAAAAAAAAAATAAAGCAACAGCTTGATTTAATGAATAGTACTGGGTTCCAGAGCTCTGTTCATAGCTGCCAACATAACCAGCTATGTGACAGTCAGCATGTCACTTAACTGCAGTGTCCTGCTTTCACCATCTGTGAAATGCTTTGGGAAGTCATGGAAAACTGAATCATAGGTCTTTTCCATCTCTAGATTCTGTTAGGTCATCCAACTGTCCATCTGCCAGTGGGAGATTGTTTCCTACATCCACCAGTGTTTTTCCAGTCTGGATTCTGTCCTTCAAGTGATTGGGCTTCCACCAGTACCTTTGGGAGATTATTTTGCAGACTTTTAGACCTCATTATGAGGAAGCTCTTCTGACATTCACAAAAATAATTTTTTTGGTCTGTTAGTTTGATTTCAACTGTTCCTTTATTCCCATTGTTACATGTTACCCTTATAGCTTTAAGGCGTGTAATTTATGCCACACCTTAAAGATGTAGGTGTGATGCAGACTCTCTGTATGGTATCTAACATAGAGAAGGAAGGACAATACAATATTTTGAAACGCAAGGTATGACCATCTATAAGAAAGTAAGCACCTTAGTTTTTCCTAAAATTTTCCTAACATTGCATCTACGGAAGTCTGCAGGCTGCTTCATGTTTTATATTTAAGTGTTCACTTCTTTCCTGGAGTTCTAGAAACTCAGCAAACATAATTTTCTCGAGGTGTTGAAGAAGTATCACTATCACTGTGATACAGGCTGGATCTAGGTGAAAGTTATAAGAGTAACTAGGTTTCTTTGTACAAAGTTTGCACAAAGTTTTGGGTTTTTCAGAACTATGAATGTGTGGAAGTGATTTGGGCTCTTCGTAACTGTAGTTGAACTGCTTTTAAAATAGCCATCTGGCAAACAACTGGTATGTAATATGATTTATTTGATGTAGTGCCCCAGGAAGAAAAAGCAATATTCAGTGAGTTCAATTTGATAAGGTTAATAGGTATTTTGTAATGCAACATATACAAACTAATTATTTTAGAATAACAAGGAATCAGTCATAGGGACATGTTTTGTAAAATACCAACTTTTAACAAAATCTGCTTGCCCAGGATTTTCATTCCTCTGTTCCAGCTGCCAATGGAAATGGTAAAGTCTGGGAATGAAAACTGCATGTGTAGTCACTCTTCAGAAAAGAGATTTTTTTTCTTCTCAAAATCTTTTTTATTGTCTTAAACTTGTATATTCACATATGTTGATGATTTCTGATACTAGCTTCATAGTCTAAGATGTGGGGCATTTGGAAGTTTATTTGTAGCACAGCACAGGCAGTGTAAATATTTTTGTAAATGAAATCACCTTTCTGCATATTTTGCTGTTGAAAATCTCTTATTACCCTCAGTAGTAGGAGATATTTCGTAAAGTCTGATCATAAGAAGAATCACTATATCTTTTGTCTGCAGGAATTAAAGCCAGATGAAGTTACCAGACTTGCACTTAGGACAGAAATTAATTTTGAAAGTGTCTGCAGAAAGGTAAGGCTTTTGGGTTTTGTTTTCTTTTGTTTCCCTCCTTCTGCAAATGTGAGAGCACTCCTTAGGAAATGGTACATACATGGGTTGAAGTACATGCATTAGCACAGTGTGTTCTGTATGTTATATTGCATCTTCATTATAGACCTTACTTTTCTAAGGAAATTTATCCACTAGGTGATATCTAGAGAAAATTGTATAACTCTTTAATAAAAGTGGCTTGTCTCTAGGCTGGTGAGCTAATCCTTACTAACTGAAATAGAATACCAGGAAACATAACAGTGGAGTTTGAGCCTTTATAAATAAATCTGTTTTGTTTATATAATACATATACATGGTTCAGTTAGTATAAGTAATTTAGGCTTTCAAAAACATTTGGAAAAAGGCTCTAAATACTTTTAGATGCAGAGAGAAGTTTCCACATGTTAACAAAACGTGACAAATGTTAGCTTGAAATAAAGGTGGAATTTTAACATCCCTGTGGCTCGTTAACTTCAGTGTGATGTTTCTCCTAAAGCTTGCTGATGGTAGATCATTAAATATTAACTAACTAGTGATAGTTATAAGAAATTAAATGAAGATGTACAAGTGGGAAGTTGCTTGATGGAATAAGCAGTAGTTGAGGTTAAGTGCTACTGGACATGCTAAAAGTGAAGAAGAGCAGAAATAAGTACTGTTTTAAGGGATGTGCTGCAGAAATCATGGCAGAAAGCAATTCTGAGCCAAAAATATCAGCATTGTGTATTTTTCCTCCACATTATCCTAAATTTCTATGGGAGTGAGGACTCCAGTGTGTCCTCCACTGAGGGAGTCTGTATTCTTTATAGTCCATAGACTATTTTTTGGTGTAGAACTGGGTAATTTCTTTCTGTAACAGCATCATTATATAATGATGTAATATAACTGTGCTGTTGCAAAGCAGAGTCATGTGTGATCTAGTTCAGCAATTAGCATAGCACTTAGAAGTATTTCCATGCTTCATGTAAGCAAAATCAAATTAATAGGAAAATATCATAGGAATTTGGTATTTCTGGAGCAAAATTTGGATGGAAGCATCTTACTGCTTTTTCTTCTCTAAATGTTAGAAGATAGTGAGGAAAGGGTCACAGATATGCTAACATGGAGCTAAAAAAGCAGCATTCTTCTTTAAATTTATTTGACCAAGATTTTCAAGTCTGAAAGTGAGCTATTTAGAAACTGGTTACTGTTTTGTTAGAAATGATGCAGAAGTGAAGATTCTGGATGTGCAAGTACATATAGAGAGGGATTTTGTGCTTGAGGAGGGATGCTAAATTCAAATAGACTTTTTGTCACTTCCTGTAGGAGTTTCTTCTGGCAAGAATTTGAATATATCAGGCTTATGCTGGTTGCATAAAGCATAGGAGACCTAAAATGAAATAATCGATGCTTTTGTTTTGAAGAAATCAACAGGTTTACAGTTGGAATTTTGTTTTCTAAGAGGACAGCTTATTCCCAAGAACATAAAAAAAAACACCAAAACAAAACGTACTACTAATCTTACTAGTTTATTTTGTCCTATTATTTGTGATGTATTCAGAGTTATGGTTGACTGTATGTTTTCCGTGTTTACTTAATGTAGGTTTTCATTTAGCTATAAGACTTGTAAACAAATAATACAGATACCTTCATGGAATTGATTTTGGTTTTAGAACTGTTACTTCTGGTATTTCCTGCTGCTGGTCATGTTTCCTAGTGGTGTGGAACTCTGTTAATCTCATATGTTGTAGGGAAGGTGTCTCATGTCTAAAATGAAGTTTATGGGTGGGTGCTGTTGCTTTTTTAAACCGATAGAGGGGTTTTTAACCTTACTGCAGTAGAAGATCATGTAATTATTACAGTGCTATTGACAAGTGGTGGCTAAGCAATCATAATTTTATTGGTTGGCCATAGCATATCCCCAGATGAAGGCAGCATCCCTTCTATGCTTCAACAAAAGTTAATTTTTCAATGTATTATTTCCTCTTTTCCCACAGTTAGTTAAGCACACAGTTTAAAAAAAAACCCGATTTCCTATACCTAGCAATATTCTGTAGGTCACATCAAATGCAGACCACACTGTTTACCTTTTTATTAACTTGAGTTTCAAAATATTTAAAGGAAAACATCCTGTGGCTGTTTTCATTTTCAGGAACAGTTTGTTTTCATTGATAAAAGGCAGTCTGCTTTTAATTCACTGTGGAATGCTGAATATTAGTTTTGCGTAGTGGACACGTAGTCAAGATATTTGTTTAATTCCTTCTGCCCACTGAGATTTTATGTTCCATTACTATGTTTCTCCAGTACTTTTCAGAATAAGATAAGCATATTTTTCTATTTTAAAAAAGTTTATATAGATTTCAGTCAGATAGAATAAAATTGTGGTAAGTGTTCAACAAGTGGCACTCTAAGTTAAGTTTGTATTATTTGGCTGTCAATATGGCTATATTGATGGTTGCTAATAAGAAAATCAGATTTATGATAGTTGCAGTGTGAGTTGGCAAGAGTCATCAGCCACATAACAACAAGGCTTCTTTTTCTAATTTTCATAAATATTATAGGGCTTACAATGTTACTGTAAGGCAAGAAACAGAAGGTGAACAGTTGTTCACTTCTGCTGAAATAATTTTAATCCAATTTAATACTGCTGCGGCTGGCATCATTGCTATCAACATGTGATAAATTCCATTGTAAAAATTGTAATGAATGTTGTCATGCGACTTTAGCTAGACTTTACATTGTTGGTGCTTAGTTACAGCTGTTGAACAGCAGATCCTGTATTTTTCAGTTTTTGACTAAGGCTTTGTGCACTTTCTGTACTGTCCACAACAAATACATTTTGCCAGACATTAATAAAATCAAAAACGTGGAAGGTCTGTTGTCCAGTGTTCATTTGAACTAGTATTTCTACCTGTGCTTATACCTGCACTATTGCAGAAGGCTTTGTTCATTAGTGTTATGCTCCAGCACACCAAATGTACAAATTGGAAGCTAATCCTAAAACTGGTGTTCATTATAAGCAGGAAACTGACTTGGGAACTGACAAAGGTCTTAACTGTTACCTTCAACTTATTGCTAACATACCTATATGTTAGCTATATGTTAGCTAGCATAACTATAAAGTAACTTGGATACATTAAAGTAGACAGGATATATAGGTTAATATGTATTAATATTTTTACAGTATTAGAGAAATTATCACAGAATCACAGAATCCCAAGGGTTGGAAGGGACCTCAAGAGATCATCTGGTCCAACCCCCCTGCAAGAGCAGGGTAACCTAGAGTACATCACACAGGAACTTGTCCAGGCGGGCCTTGAATATCTCCAATGTGGGAGACTCCACAACCCCCCTGGGCAACCTGTTCCAGTGCTCTGTCACTCTCACAGTAAAGAAGTTCTTCCTGATGTTAACGTGGAACCTTCTATACTCCAGTTTACACCCATTGCCCCTTGTCCTATCACTGGATATCACTGAAAAAAGCCTAGCTCCATCATCCTGACACCCACCCGTTACATATTTGTAAACACCGATGAGGTATGTGCTGTTTCTTCAGAAAATGGGATATTGGTCTACCTGAGAATATCTTCATCATAACCACAGTTGATTGTGCTGCCTTTGCACTATTCTAACAGATCTTGACTAATTGTAGCATCTTTAGTGTTTCTTCCAGTAAGTCTTTGGTATATAGGTTATAAGGAAAAAAAAAAAACACAAAAAACAAACCAACCCTGTGTTCTAAACACTGAGAATGACAAAATTCTGCTCCAGCATAATGAAACTGCCTAATACAAGCAATGATCTAAGGTGCCATCTTGACTTAAGCCAAAATACCTCTTTTTCTAGATTGTAAAGTCTGTGTACTTCAAAATTACCAACTTTCAGATTTGGGGAAGAAGGGGGGGGGGGGGCAATTGAAACTGCAAAGGATTATTGCATATGAAGAATTCTTTATGTGAAGAATAGAGTAGCCGTGTACATTACTGTCCAAGCTTGAACTGACCACATGCTTCTGACTTGCAGAAATACCAACAAACATTTCCAGATGATACACACATCCTCAGATTTTTGCTTCCAGATACGATCTTCACACAACCTAAGTAGCAAAGGTTTCCTTTTTTTTGAACTGAGATGCAATCTGTGGTCCCTGAGAAGTGCACCACCTTTTCCTACTATGTCTTGTATTTTCATCTGTTACTCCAGTCCTGTCACGTTTGAATCATGCAGACGCTTGTCTGAAAAAAGGAATTTGCAGAGCAAATTTTGAATATCTTCTGAGCTTCAGAGGTTGTTGGGACCATGCCACATGCCTCTGTGGCTCAAGATTACTGAAAAGCTTCCCACAATTTCTAAGTGTGTTGAGAAATTCTTCTGGACTAGAAATCCAGAAATGTAAGCCATTACTAGCTCTTAAGAGCACTTTCTTTTTTTTTTTTTTTTTTTTTTTCTTTTCTTGCTAATGTAAGGCCTGGTGAGCTTATTTTGTATTGCTTCATGTTCAAGAGCCAACTTCATCTTGTTTTGAATTTAAAAGGAATTTGAAGGCTTTAGAAATAGGATCTCAGGCAGGTCATGCATAGCCATGCATGATGTGCCAGGATTTGAATGAGCAGCCTAATGCATAGTGTGATGTTGATCATTAAAAGTATAAGCTGCCTAGTAAGGACAGCTGGACTTAACATGATTTTGGAGTGATAATATTACTGCTGTCTAGTCCCAGGTCCATGTATTTTTAATGGATACCCAGAGGCTGTTATCCTACACTTAAAGTTCTGGAAGTTATTTCAGGGGCGAGTGAATTTAATATTCAGGTCTCTTTATCTACATGTCTCAAATGAATTTGGATCAGGCAACCAGCTAAAATACTAACAGTAATAAGAACTGTTTTCTGTGTTGTGAAGCAATAGAACTGTTACTTGATACATGTGAGAACACCCTGTTTACCTCCTAAACTCTGCAATGACTTCACTGGATCTCTGGTGCAGGACTAAGGAATTCCTTCGGTA